TGTACTTTACATCCCCAAGACTATTCTGTAACTACAAATCTGTACTTCTCTATGCCTTCACCTTTTACCCAGTACCCCACCACCACAGGCAAGCTGACATTATCGACTTGAATTCTTACTTCTTTTCTAATATAAACATTTAGTGCTATAAATTTTCCTTTAAGTACCCTTTTTAAAAAAATTATTTTTATTGTTAAAAGCTTTACTGATGTCCCCTTTCTCCCCCCCACTCCATTGACCCCCTCTTACTCCTCCTAGTCCCTACCCAAGCCTTTGCCACGCTATTAGTGTCTGTTTTCGTAAGTTATGCATATAAGTTATTTGCTTAATCTCTTCCTGCCCCCCTCCTCCCACCCCACTTCTCTCTAAGAGTTCTCAGTTTGTTGCATGCTTCCATATTTCTGGCTCTTTTTTGTGTGACAGTTTATTTTGTTCATTAGAGTTCACATATACTAGTAAGTGAGATAGCATGATATTTGCTTTTTCTGACTAACTTATTTCGCTTAGCATAATACTCTTCAGGTCCCTCCATGTGTCTCGAGGGGTAAGATTTTTCTTCTTTTCATAGCTGCATAGTATTCCATTGTGTAAATGTACCACAGCTTTTTATCCACTCATCTATTGATGGGCACTTGAGCTGTTTCCAGATCTTGCCTATTGTAAATAATGCTGCTATGAACATAGGGGTGCAAGTACTCTTAACGACATCCCACAATTTTTTATAGTTATGTTTTCATTCCATTCAAAATACATTCTAATTGCCCTATTGATTCCTTATTTCACACATGGGTTGTTTAGAAATGTGTTATTTAGTTTCTAAATATTGGGGAATTTTCCCAGTATCTTTCTGTTGTGATTTCTAATTTAATTCCTTTGTGATTAGAGAACATACTTTGTATGACTTGAATCCTTTGAATTTACTGAGATTTATTATGGCCTAGAATATGGTTAGTCTTTGCTAATGTTCTGGGTGTACTTGAGAAGAATGTGTATAGTGCTGTTATTGGGTAGAATTCTGTAAATCTCAGTTGTGTCTATGTGATTGGTTGTGCTATTTACTTTACTGTGTTCTTACTGGTTTTTTGCCTACTTGCTCTATCAGTTATTGAGAGATTGGTATTAAGATCTCCAACTAAAATTTTGTTTATTTCTTTTTCTCCTTGTAGTTCTATCTGATTTGCTTCATGTATTTTGAAGCTATTATTAAAGGCACAAACACTTAGGATTAATTGACCCCGTCATTACTATAAAATAATCTTTTCTCTTCCTGGTAATATTTTCTCTGAAATCTACTTTTTGTGCTAATAACACAAAAAGCTTTCTTTCAACTTATGTTATCATGGTATATTTTGTAACCTTTTTTTTGTTGTTGTTGTTCTTTTGTTGTTGTTGTTGTTACAACAGTAGCTTTTATAATTACTCATCTATTGACCTCTACTGAGAATCTTATTTCTCCACATGGTGTTTTTTTTAATATTTATTGTTCAGATTATTATAGATATTCCTCTCCCCCACCCTATAGCTCCTCTCCACCTGGTTCCCACCCTACCCCATGCCCTCACCGCCCCCATGTCCTCATTAATAAGTGTAAGATTTTTTCCAATCTCTACCCACAACCCCACACCCTCTTCGCCCCAAGATTTGTCAGTCTGCTCCCTTTTTATGCCCCTGATTCTATTACATTCACCAGTTTATTCTGTTCATCAAATTTTTTATTCATTTGATTTTTAAATTCACTTGTTGATAGATATGTATTTGTTGTTCATAATTTTTATCTTTACTTTTTTCTTCTTCTTCCTCTTCTTAAAGAATACCCTTCAGCATTTCATATAATACTGCTTTGGTGGTGATTAACTCCTTTAGCTTTTTCTTGTCTGTGAAGCTCTATTATCTGACCTTCAATTCGAAATGATAGCTTTGTTGGGTAATCTTGGTTGTAGGTTCTTGCTATTCATTACTTTGAATATTTCTTGCCACTCTCATCTGGCCTGCATAGTTTCCGTTAGAAATCAGCTCAGTCCTATGGGTACTCCCTTGTAGGTAACTAACTGTTTTTTCTCTTGCTGCTTTTATTATGTATTATGTATTTGGGTGCTCCTGCGTTGGGTTCTCCATTTGTCTTTTGCTCTTGGCATTTTAATTATGATGTGTTTTGGTGTGGTCCTCTTTGGATTCCTCTTGTTTGGGGTTCTCTGTGCTTCCTGTACTTGTAAGTCTATTTCTTTCACCAGGTAGGGGAAGTTTTCTGTCATTATTTCTTCAAATATGTTTTCAGTCTCTCTCTCTCTCTCTCTCTCTCTCTCTCTCTCTCTCTCTCTCTCTCTCTCTCTCTCCCTCCCTCCCTCCCTCCCTCCTCCTCCTCCTCCTCCTCCTCTCATCTTCCTCCACCCCCCATAATTCAGATGTTGGTACACTTGAAGTTGTCCCAGAGGCTCCTTTTTGGATTCTTTTTGCTTTTCTGGTTGGGTGTTTTTTGCTTCCTCGTATTTCTAATCTTTGATTTGATTCTTGGGATACTCTAGTCTACTGTTGAAGCTCTGTATATTATTATTTATTTCAGACAGTGTATGCTTAATTTCTGACTGGTCCTTTTCCATTTTTTTGGCATTCTCATTAAGATCCTTGAAAGTCTCACTAAGTCCCTCAGAGGTCTCACTAAGTTCCTCGGAGGTTTTTAGAAGATTCTTAAGTAACCTTATAAGTGTGGTTTTGAACTCTATATCCAATAGTTTGCTTTCCTCCATTTCTTTCATTCGTGACTTGTTTCTTTGTCTCCACATTTTAGCTACTTCCCTGTGTTGGTAGAGTGGCCCTGTGTGCTAGGCATCCAATAGGGCCCAGTGGCTCAGCCTCCCCTATCACCTGAGGTGGACACTGTAGGTGCACCCCTTTGTGGGCTGTGTGCTCAGTCTTGTTGTAGTTAAGCCTTGATTGCTGTTGGTATCACTATGAGGAATTGACCTCCAGGCCAATAGAATGTGAGGACCAGCTGTGTCTACAATGGAAGAACTGCTGTGCAGGAGACACCCTTATGGGGCAGGGCTTGCCTCAGTCGGGCTTTGGTACTCACTGAGTATGCCCCTTCAATGTGTCACTTATGAATGTGAAGAGTTGTAATCCAATATGGTCTCACACTGACCACTGAGTACACTGGCTCTTGGATATCCAGGGAGGTGCAAAGTCAGCCACTGTCTGGGGCCACCCAGCAGAAGCTACAGAGAGATCTTCAGATTCCTCTTTGTATGGGGTTTTGAAGTACCCAGGAGAAGCCCAGCTGTGAAGCAAGGCAGGCTGCTTCTGCTGGGCCTTAGGCCTTCTTTTGGAAGCTTTGGGTCTCTCTGACCCAGCTGTAGTTTGACAAGTTTTAAGCTAGAAAGGACAGGCCATTCATATGCAAAAGACGCTGTGCACAGCTTGGGTAGGGTTGTGCATTCTGACCCGATGCCAGACAGTCCAGTTTCTCCCCATATGAGTCTGGGTACCCAGAGTCTTGCCCAGAACTGGAGTTCAGAGCAAGCGGGAACTTGTATCTCCCTCCGGATTGAAAAAAAATAACAGCGCACCCGGTTGCCAGCCCATTCCTTTCGTGCTTCCTCACCTCCACACCTCCTACCCGTCTCAATGCACTTTTTTCTTCTAGTTGTAAAACTTCCACTTAGCCAGCTTTCCCACGATTCTGGATGATAGTTGTTTTGTCTCATAGTTGTAGTTTTGATGTGGTTGTGAGAGGCAGCAAGTACAGGTATTTACCTATGGTGCCATCTTCTGTAATCCTTTTAATTTTAACCTATTTGTGCCTTCGAGGTTTTTTTATGAAAATATTTTAATGTTGACATAATTGCAAGTGTCCTCCTTTCCAGCATCCCCTTTGCCCACCTCGATCCACCTCAGCCTCCCTCTCTTTTGGCCTTTACCAAATTATTGTCTGTGTCCATGGGGTATTACATATATGTTCTTTAGCTAATCCCTTCACCTTCTTTATCTAGTCAACCCATTCCCCTCTCCTTGGGTACCAGCCAATCTGTTTCATGTATCCACACTGGTTCCATTTTGTTCGTCAGTTTATTTTGTTCATTAGACTCCACATATTAGTGAGATTATATGATATTTGTCTTTCTCTGACTGGCTTATTTTGCTTAGCAATAATAATACTCCCCATGTCCATCCATGCTGTCACAAAGGGTAAAAAGTTATGCCTTCGCTTTTAAATTGTGATTTATGTAGTAGGGTCTGACTTTTTAATCCAATCTTACAATTGGAAGTTTTGAATCTTTTATCTTGCTATTTGTTTTCTATTTTCCCCATCTGCTCTTCATTCACTTTTTCCTTGTTTTCTGACTTCTTTTTTGGATCAATTGAGTATTTTTATAATTCTATATTATCTCCTTTTGTTTCACATTTGGTGCTTTATTAGAGGATTAAGTTCTCTTGAATAATTGACTCCTTTACCATTATGAAATCATCTTTTTTAATCCTTGGTAATTCTTTGATGTGAATTCTACATTACCTGATATTAATATATCCGCTCCAGCTTTCTTTTGATTACTCTTATTGTGGTATATCATATGATGTGGTATATCAGGGATGGTCCTTTTTTAAAAACTGAATTTAATTAATTTTGTTTGCTTAATATATTTCATCTTTAAAGATTAAGAATGGATATCTATTTACTAAATAGAACAGGCAGTCAAAATATACTTTAATTCTATATCATGACTAGATAAGGAGAAAATGGAGAAGATAAGACAGAGTACAAAGAAGAGAAATGTAGAATATCTGAAGATTTTCTGCAGAAAGTCTCTTTATTGTGACCTTTTAGGATATTGCTGTAAAGGCTCTTGGAGGCCTATTCGAACTTTTGGTGAGTGTAGGTACAAATGGAAATCTCCCTTCTAGTTACTTGAGCTCTGGTCTGAGGAAAATTTAGTCTGGAGCTGAATCGAGCCCATGGGCCAGAGAACCCGCATCCCTAACCCAACATCACTTGATTACTCTTCTAGAGTTGGCTTGGAAATGAAATTGAGGTTATGGTCAGTACTGAGGAAGCCAAACGCCATCTGAATGACCTTCTTGAAGATAGAAAGATCCTGGCTCAGGATCTGGCTCAACTCAAAGAACAAAAGCAATCTGGGGAGAATCTACCTTCTAAATTCCGGGTAAGTGCCCTTATGGAAATATTTGACCAATTATCAGACTCTTGTACTCCCCAGATATACTCACTGCTTTGGCCAGTTACTTTCCTTTGAGTACTTCACCCTCATTCCCACTATTCTTCTTTACAGAGGCGCACATTCTCAGTTGCTGAACTTCATGGTCAAGTTTCTGAATCAGAGGATTCCATTACAAAGCAGATTGAAAGCCTAGAGACTGAAATAGAACTCAGGTAATGGGACTGTCTGCAAGGCATTATAAAAATGTATGCCTGGAATCAAAATAGAAAATGCTAGTCCAGTGACTTAAAAGTTTTATGATAGTGGAGAAACAAGAGAAAGTAGCATTTTTAAAAAAATATATAAACTAGAAATGTTAGATACATTTTCTCATTCAGTCCTTTCCTATGAGGTATACCTTATGAGTTATGTATGATTCTTCTTACTTTAGAGATCTGAAGTTCACAGATCTTAATATATTTGCTATAATTTATATATAGCTGGCATTTAGAACTTAGACTATCTAACGCCAAAGCCCAGGATCTTTAAGCTGCACCACAATTTTTGATGCAGTAATATCTCTGAAATGCGGAATTGACTAAAAACAAAACTTTAGAGGAACCCAAGAAATGATATAAGAAGAGTAATAACAGCTTGACATGGCTCAGTGGTGGAGTGTTGACCTATGAACCAGGAGGTCACAATTTGATGCCCGGGTTACGGGCTCGATCCCTAGTGGGGGGTGTGCAGGAGGCAGTAGATCAATGATGTTTCTATCTCATCATTGGTATTTCTATCTCTGTCTCCCGCTTCCTTCCTCTCTCTGAAATCAATAAAAACATAGAAAGAGGAGAACTTGAGAAATCAACAGCAAAGTAGATAGAATAGAACAAAATGATTATGAGCATTAAATGAGATTAGTAAGTAAAGTACTATACTTACAGTAGTTGGCATAATAGAAGTGCTCAGTGAATGTTCTCTTTTTTAAAAATATATTTCTAGAAGGATCAGAATGTAGATAATATTAAAAAAAATTTAGTTTCTAGTATTTTTCATTTTTTTAAATTACTTTATTGATTAAGATATCACATATTTGTCCTCATGCCCCCCATTCCCATCCCAAACCTCTCCCCACGCATGCTCTCACCTTCCTGTTGTCTGTAACCACTGGTTAGGCTCATATGCATGCACACAAGTCCTTTGGTTGATCTCTCTCCCTTATCTTCACCCTCCCCTACCTTCCCTCTGAGGTCTGACAATCTGATCGATGCTGTTCTTATTCATCAGTCTGTGTTGTTCATCATTTCCCCTAGATGAGTGAGCTCATATGATACTAGAGATATACTTATAAGAATCGAAAATGAGACAAGCAATAATGGTTATGCTGAGAGGCAAATGAATCAGTCTATAGTGAGTTTCTTTCTGGCCAACAGTTCTTTTGAGTCCCAATTTCTATGTTAAACAGTTCCTTATGTGTACATGTCAGCAATGATATTTCAGTTCTGGATGGTGTAGAAATGGTGGTAATGCAGGTCCAACACTCTCTGGTTTGGTCCTGGGCATCCTTCAGTGATGCACAGCTGCTGACGGCTAGCATAGCAAAGCTTCGTCAGCATCTTCCATCTCTGGACTGTTTCTCTTCTGTCTTCATGGCTGGAGCACTCCTGTCAATTCCTCTCTGTTGCAGGAATCCACATGGTCTCAGAGTTGTTTTCTGAAAATATACAAACATATTCTTGACCAAAAGTTAATACAGGAATCTTTTCTATAAATTTGACTTGCGATCCTTTTTCATTTTTTGCCCAAACTATTTTCCTTTGGTTTGTTTTGACACTATGTATGTTTTACATGGGTGTCTTGTTGTTAGCATTACAAATGAAAGTTAATTTTCTAAAGTACAAATTTTCTAGATGTAATTTACTTACAGGATATTTTCCCTTACACAACATTCTTCTACTATCCTCCCTTTTTTATTTAAATATTAGGCTTTTGGAAGTTTTATAATGTAATTTTGATAGCTTTTAAATTTTAAGTTTTTGCACTAAAATGTGACTACTTTAGGTTCATTACATGTTATGCAATTTTACCATGAGATGAACCACCAATAAAAATTTTAGTTAACACTTTAGGAACAGCTTTTTTGTCCAGTCCAATTGATTTTTCTAGAATATTCGCTTATTTCAATTAGCCAATTTAAATTAGCCTGAAAACTTGACTACTATTTTACTGTCAAATTTAATACTCTAACAACCATCTTATTTTACCCTGTAAATATTAGTGGAAAGGATTATTTTCCTCCTTGAGTAGGCCCTGAGCATTCCTGGTGCTAGTCTGGGTTTAGATATCAAAAACCCCATTTCCCCACACCCTGGGTACAAGACATCTCAAATAAGTCTTGTTGCAGTGAGAAGGCACCTGCCGTCAGCCAAGTCTCTATCTGTTACCTGGGTCCCTATTTGAGCTGGACATGGGAAGCTAAGCAGCCATGGAAGCAGAAGACCTCCCTCAGCAGGGGTGAGGGTTCAGGCCCCTGCAAAGTTGGGAGGGTGATGGTTTATGCCCCATTTCCGTTGACCCCCAAGTTCTCTCCTGATGGCCCCTCTGCGACTGTGCCTGTCTTAGGTTGTTCCTTCCCTGAGGAATCTTACCTGTCTCTGGCTAACCAGCCATCCTCCAGGGCCAAACAGGGTGATGTGAGATTCAGTTCTATCTCCTTGGTAGCCTACGTCCCCGTGGCCTCCACGCCCAGCACCTGCCTTGGGATCCCCTCGCCTGCTGGCAGGGCCCAAGCACTGATCACATATCTTGTGAAACCCAGGTTTCTTCTCCAGGGAGGGCCCAGCTCACCCCACTGGGTGAGAGAAAGATCCATGGTACCAGCTATCATGAGGCTTCAACCTCGGCATGAACATAAATTTCTTAAGATAATAGATTTTTATTGCCCAGAAGAGCTTGGAGGTCATTTAATTTGTTTTTAGCAATACACACTAGCTGTTTATCTTTGGATACATCTATAAGTCACTCAGCATTTGAGTTTCTGCTTTGTGCTGCACTAGGTGCAGTTGGTATATATACACAAAAAATAGATGGATCACCCTTACTCTCAAGTGGAAATATTATAATGTGAAAGAATCATTTGTTAAAATTTCAGGAATATTGTAAGCCATTGATAGCTTACAGTTGGTTATGGTGAGAGGATTTACACAACAGAAACTAACAAAAGCTACAAATCAGGTCTGGTTTGTTAAGTGCTGGGTGTTAAACATTTACCCAGATACCACTGGGCATAAGTAAATGATCACTTAAATGTAGGGCAAGTGCCAAGTAGAGGGCAATCAGACAGGTGAGTTTAATCAAGAGAATTTTCCTAAAGTTTATGAGGCATAAACTAAATTTTGAAATAGCCAAGGGTCATAAATTGTCAGAGACGACAGGAAAGGGCATATGATGGACAACTCTGAAGTGGTCTGGCCCTCCTCTTCTAAGAAGCCTACCCTAACCCTTCTTCCCTCACTAATATCCCCCTCTCCTTCTTCTCTAACCTCCTTCAGAACTTACAGTACTCAATCATGTTATTCGAATGACATATGTTATCTTTATATTTATTAGCTGTTTTATGTTTATTAGTCTTATCAATCTAGAAAGATTGTAAGCTATTGAGGGAAAGGACTATATATTAGACCAGGTTGTCAAAGTGTGGTCTGAAAACTTCTGGGGGTCTCTGAGACCCTTTCAGGGAGTCTGACCAAAACAATTTTCATAATAACATTAAGATGTTATTTGCCATAATAGTGCAAAAGCAACAGTGGACAAAACTGATGACAGCTTGGCTTGAACAAAAACAGTGGTACCAATCTGTGATCACTGAATACATCTTTGGAGTAAAAAAAAAAAGCAGTAAAATGTGTTCATTTCATGAAATCTGCACCCTTGAGTTCAGCGCTTTTTGGTATGTGTGACAGAGTGGGAAGAACACAGCACGTGTGCAGCGTGCAGAGGTGTGGTGTCTCCAGGAAAGGCGCTTGGCGCTTGGGAGGGTTAACAGCAGGCCTCTGTGCATGGAACTTCATTTTTACTTGAAGAATGACTGACAGACCAACTGGTTATTCAGACTTGGGTATGTGGCAGACATTTCTCAGAAATGATCAGAGTGAGCCTGTCGCTTCAAGAACAACAGCTGACACTGTTTGTCGCCAAAAATTTGATTTTTTAAGAGACAGTCAGAATTTTGAAAAATGTATATCTTCTGTGAGCTTGACAGTTTTTCATAACTTTTTTTATGAGACCAGTCGGGATATTAACAAATATGATTTCTCTATACTGTATAAAGAAATGTGTTAATATTTGGAGGCTCTACATGCCTCAGCATTGTCCAAATGGCATGTTACAGAATCATGTATGGGTAAAAGACCCATTCAGATTTCAAGATAGACCAATGAATTTTAATGTAAGAGAGTATGAAATGTTTATTAATAATGGTTTTAGGTTCTACTTTGTTTTGTTTTCTTCAGATTCTTCTTTTCAGCTAACTTTTAAGAAGCTACCACTTGTAGGGTTTTTGGTATATTCTCAAAGAAGAATAGCCACAATTATCTGAAAAGGCTATTAAAATGCTCCTCCCTTGTCCGCCTACATATCCATGTGAGGCCAGATTATCTTCATTTATTTCAACAAAGACTGAATGCAGAGGGTGATGTGTGAATCTAGGTGTCTTATACTAAGCCAGATATTATAGAGCTTTGTAAAAGTGAAAAATAATCCCAGTATTCTCACTAAATTATTTTTTGTTTTAAAAAAATGTAGTTTTTTATAAAATGTTATTGAGGTTTTTTATTTTTAAATGAATTAATATTTAATATCTCTCAGTTTTATTTTCTAATGCTGTAGGTATAAAGTGAATATGAATGGAATTTCTTAAGTCCTCAGTGCTTTTTTTCTTTTTAACATTTCCAATAGGCTGAACTCTACCAACATAGCAGAAAGAAAACCTATCGGGAAAATGTTTTGTGGTCGTGTCCCTCAATGTTTTTTAAGAGTGTAAACAAGTCCTCAGACCTAAATTTGAGAACTGCCATGTTATGTTATGTTATCTTGGTACCCATTATTTTGGTACCCATCTTCATAGATATGTGTGTGTTTGTGTGATTAATTTTACAGAGAGGAAGGGAGAAGGATAGAGAGAAATATTGATGAGAAAGAAACATTGATCAGCTGCCCCCTACTGGGGATCGAGCCTGCAGCCAAGTATATGCCCTTGACCAGAATCTAACCTGGAACCTTCAGTCTGTGAGCCAGTGCTCTATATACTGAGCTAAACTGGTTAGGGTCCCATCTTCTTTATAGTATCTTACATAGCACTGCATGCTGTGCACGTGCTGGTGTGCTCTCTCTCACTGGCCACATAGCAAATTTAAGAAGGAAGCTATTAATGAAACTAAAATATTGTGTCTGCCTTGGTCTCTGACCATACTCAATCAGAAAGTATCTGGAAGCTATAACCAGAATCAAGGTATCTTGTCTTCTCAGAAACTTCTCAGTCTTGTGGCAGGCACTTCAAGATAACCTCTCACAACACCATAGCTATCAATTTGGTATTCAATTCCAGCAAAAAGCATCCATGTGTTTGTTATTTTGAGGATTTTTTCCTTTCTAGCCTCCAACCTGAATCTTGTCCTTGTATAGGTGAACCACCATATCATAATCTGAGCTTATGTGGCCTTGAGACAAGTCACATTACAGTCGATGCACTACTAATAAGCCTTACTAAAATAAATATTTCCAAGACCATTTATGATCCATTTAGTTAAATCAGTATTTAATAAAAATGAAACCATTTAGATGGTCTTTGGAGTCTCTTTGTAACAGGATTTGAGCTAATGTAAGAACTCACATTTGAGCACACATCCTAACCAGATAACTAAATCATTATATAAATAATATTTAGCTGATACCTCCTTCTGTAAAACTATTTGAAGTTTCTCGTTTCTCCTCAGAACTTTTCCCCTGTCCTGTTTGTTGAGACTACTGGTAATAAGGCTCACTGTTTCTTTCCTTGCAGGAGTGCTCAGATTGCTGACCTGCAGCAGAAGCTACTGGATGCAGAAAGTGAAGACAGGCCAAAACATCGCTGGGAGAATATTGCTACCATTTTGGAAGCCAAGTGTGCCATGAAATATTTAATTGGAGAGGTAAATATTACTCTTCCTACCAGCAATTAGGGATCTGGCTTGGTATTAATAGATTGAAATAAGATGTTAGCCTGGAATACTGTCATTGTGTCATTGCCACTTTTCCTGGTAAAAACCACAATGACACTAACATTAGAGAAATAGTTTTATGGGTAAAAGTTGATGTGAGCAAGTGCTCAATAAATGTTTTCTCTTATTATTAGGAAAAGATCAGAATGCCATAGTAGGCCACTACCTAAACATAAATTATTACACTGGAGTACTTTTTAAAACACCCATATTCAGAAAGTTTAAGCCCTAGCCACTTTGACTCAGTGGATAGAGTGTCAGCCTATGCACCAAAGGTTCCCGGGTTTGATTCTGGTTAAGGACATATACCTTGGTTGCAGGCTCCTCACCGGCCCAGGCCCTGGTCGGGGCACAGTGCAGTCAGCAACCAATTGATATGTTTCTCTCACATCGATGTTTCTCTCTGTCTTTCCCTCCCCCACTCTCTTTAAAGAAGATCAATGGAAAAATATTTTTGGGTGAGGATTAACAACAATTTTTAAAAGTTTAAGATACAATTTAGGACAGACAAATTAATAATTGGCACACAAAGATTTATCTTAAAGAAAATGCATCTTCACTGACCTTAAAATAGTCTATCATCTTACATTGTCATGAGGAATTAAAGTTGGTCACCTCTGGTGATTAAAGCATTTTCTCTTGAGACAAGCTTTACAAACTCCTCCAATTCTGCAAGTGTGAACAATGCTATCCTTTCTACATTTTGTGTTCAGTTAGCAGATTTATCTTACTAAAGAAATCCTCATTGGTCTTATGAGCACTGGTGTTTATGATGTTCGCCATCTGGGCTAATAGAGAATATATAACTAGGCCAGCTTAAGATACCAATCTAACCTGAAGAGCCAGATCTGCAGGCTCAGCTAACATGTCTACGGGTTTCAGCATGTGAACACAGACATTCGGAAATGGGACATAATTGGCCATAAGGGTGTGTCTTATGATTTTCTCTTTAAAATCAAGGAAGAACTTCTTATATATCAGAATATGATGTTGTCAGCTACTGTTCATGTTGGGTTTATTCTTGCCTTGAGGCAGAGCAAGAGATTGAATGACCTTAGTGATGGCTTCTAGCTTTAAGTTATCTACCTCAACAGAAATATCGGCTCTTGACCTGAGTAGTGTTGTTACTATTCTATGGTAGAATCCATATGTCATGAAAACATAAGAATGGACTTGGACATGGAACTTTTCTTAGCCCATTTCAAGAAAACAGACATTTGTCTGCCTAATGAATGGGGAAAGGTAGCCATTCTCCAAAGAAAATGTTCTTCTTTTATCTCTTCCAGCTGGTCTCCTCCAAGATTCAGGTTAGCAAACTTGAAAGCAATCTGAAACAGAACAAGGCCAGCTGTGCTGACATGCAGAAGATGCTGTTTGAGGAACGAAATAATATTGCTGAAAAAGAGACAGAGTTACAGGCAGAGCTATTCAGAATGGAGCAACAGCATCAAGAGAAGGTAAACTAGCGAGCCAAGAAGCGATACTGAGGAATAAACCATCATTGCTTTCTGTTGTTAGTTTTAAAAAATAGCAGGGGATATGATGTTTCCTTCAAAAGACCATGTAACTGGAGCAGCTATTTTGGGCAGCCCAGGGAGGGGTCTGTTTATGATCCGTCCTAGTTCAACAACTCTGAGGCAGGTTTTCCTGGTGCCCCTGCCCCTGAGCTCCTGTGTGCCCTTCCCCCCCCCCCCCTCTTGTCCCCCGGGGGACCTCGCCCAGGTCTTGTGTTCCAACAGTTAACATGCTCAAGGCCACACAGTAAATGGAAGAGCAGGCATCTGAATAGCCTGTATTACACACCTAAGCAAAATCAAAGTCATAGAGGCCTTATAAGCTACTCCAAAGGGATCAGGCTTTACTCAAGGTTTGCCTCTAAAAAATAGAATTGCGCCGAAACCGGTTTGGCTCAGTGGTAGAGCGTCGGTCTGTGGACTGAAAGGTCCCGGGTTCGATTCCGGTCAAGGGCATATACTGGTTGCGGGCACATCCCCGGTAGGGGGTGTGCAAGAGGCAAACTGGTTGATGTTTCTCTCTCATCGACATTTCTAGCTCTCTATCTCTCTCCCTTCCTCTCTGTAAAAAAATCAATAAAATATATATTTTTTTTAAATAGAATTGGATATTTGGGATACTCAGAGGATCAAGAGAACACCCCAATGCTGGAACAAATGAAGTTTGGGCTACACATTTATAGGAAACAAAATTGAAGCAAAATTTAAAGCAGTTAAGGTTATTCACAAAATAAGAAATGGTTCTCCAGCTACTCTCCTGAAGTCTCCAGGTACCAAATCCTGGTTAACCTAGGATCCCAGTCATTTGCTCCTTAAATATACAAGCTCCGGGAGAGGAGCGCTTTCAGATTTTCATTCACCAAACAACTCTGGGTGTACAAATCTAACACTGGAAACAGCCTTAAAAGCTAGAAACCTGCTTTTATAAAAAGTTTTCTGAGCAATAAAAATGACCATGTAGTCTTTCCCAAAATTTTCAGATAAGAAACCTGAAACAAAGAGCAATGAATGACTTGTCTAAGTTTACACATACTAGTGATAAGAGATCTTAGCCTCTATTTTGGTATGAAGATTAACATAACTGGTAAACAATGCGGTTGTGCTTGCTCCTTATTACGTCAAGCCATGAGAGCAAAAGAGAACATTTAGCCCCGTCCAGATGGTTCAGTTGGTTGTGGTTTTGATTCCTGGTCATGGCACATAACTAGGTTTTGAGATTCATCCCCAGTTGGGGCACATCTGGGCGGCAACTGATCACATGATGTTTCTCCCCCCATCCCTTTCTCTCTCTCTAAAACAATAAAAACATATCCTCAGGTGAGGATTTAAGAGAGAGAGAGAGAGAGAGAGAGAGAGAGAGAGAGAGAGAACAGTTCACTGCTAAATCACAGAGGAGTCAATCTAATCACTGTTTGGACTGAGCCCGATTTCCTTTTTTTGTCTTATTCCTTTGGTCCCGTTGGGTTGTATCTTTCTCTAGGTGCTGTACCTTCTCAACCAGTTGCAGCAAAGCCAGATGGCAGAGAAGCAGCCAGAAGTGTCAGTCAATGAAAAGAAACAACAGCTGCGGAACACACTGAAGTGTCAGGTATAATGAGGCAAAGGTTTTCAGACATGGGTTCTTAGGGCCTGGCAGAATTATCTGATTTAGACCATTGTACTTACAGCAGAGAGCAATGAGGTGCTAAACAGGGTTGATAATTGCAGCCTCTATTGCTTTTTGGCCCTAGTTGATCAATTTAAGGTATTTAGAATGTAGCCACACATAGAATAACCTCCTTTTTGGTACAGAAATGGCGGTGCATCCTCAATCCCAGACTCTGAGGCCTCCTGATTCTTTGCCTCAACATGAGCTCTAAATAGTTGAGAAAAGTAAAACACCCAGTAGAATCCTAGGGACATTCAGCTGTCTCTTCCTGAGCCTGTTCTTCTGACCTGAGACTTGACATATTTATAAAATGCCTAGAATCTAAATTTCTTCCAGAGGCTGGGAACACCACACCCTTACTAGCATGTCAGAACACTGTTTTATCCATCTTAGAATCTTCTTCCTGCCTCTAGGGTTTCCTTGGTACCTCCCATCAAAGATATAACCAAACTGTAGTTAAGGTCGTATGCATGAATCTGGCTGTCTTAAATGCCAGGAAGTTTAATCAGGCTTATTAGAGTAGCAAATAAACTGCCTAGTCTATGTTGAGAAGGATGATTAAAAGCATCTGACTTCAGAGAAACAGAGCTGTCTGCATAGGTTTCTTAATCAGCTTCCTGATGCGAATGAGGGGTGAGAGACTGGAGAATGGCAAAGAATAAGAAGGCATGTAGGGCAGAGTCCATGGTTTCTGTGATGGCTGTCAGGGCTGCTTGGGATGTTGGAATAGAGTGGCATTCGGGACACCTAGGAACTGGTGGCAATCAGGCATTTTTCTGGGTGCCAGAGCCTGCTGTACAAAAACCATCTGCTGCCAGAAACTTGGCAGCAGTATATTTTCATCTCTGTGAGTTGTTTGGTACCCCACATGTAGTACCCAAAATAATCCCACCGATCTCTGTACTCTCTGGAAATAGGAAGAAGAACTTGAGAAGATGCAAGAAGTGTATATGCAAAATAAGCAGCTTCTCCGAGAGAATGAAATCATAAAACAGGTAACACAGCCTCCCACCCACTGAACAAGCCCCAGGGAGACCCTGTTGCAACTGAGGCCATCCCTTGGGAGTAAGCCTGAATATGATGGCTTAGCTGTATTTTATGAGGTCGACATTGAGTTTCCATGTGATATAGTTATGTGCATTTCAAATTATATAAACACATTTTTTAATTTGCTCTTTTCTGAATTGAATCCTGATCTTGTAAAGTGGGAGTCCTTCAACTACTTTACTATCCTGCATCACTTTAATATGCTATCAAATTGAGCTAGCTTAGAAATCTTTATGTTTGAGCCATGAACACTCTCAGAAGCTGCCCTGCAATATACACGTTGTCTCTTCTTTTCAAATAGAAACTGACTCTCCTCCAAGTAGCCAGCAAACAGAAACCTCATCTTCCTAAGGATACCCTTCTATCTCCAGACTCTTCTTTCGAATATATCCCACCTAAGGTAAACTGCTCAGTGCCTATGATGCCTTCCCATGGCCAAGGTTTGGAGTGAGTACACTAAAATCGCTTCTTAGAAGAGATTGAGAGGTTAAATATCCAAATTCCAGCATCATGATTTTCTCTGGACTCCCAGATAAAACTCTAGGACAGTGGTTCTCAACCTTTTTAATGCCTCGACCCTTTAATATAGTTTCTCATGTTGTGGTGACCCCCAACCATAAAATTATTTTCATTGCTACTTTATAACTGTAATTTTGCTACTGTTACGAATTGTAATGGAAATATCTGTGTTTTCTGATGGTCTTAGGTGACCCTGCTAGCGGTTCTCAACCTGTGGCTCGCGACCCACAGTTTGAAAACCGCTGCTGTAGAGCCTAAGACCATCGGAAAACACAGATATTTCCATTACAATTCGTAACAGTAGCAAAATTACAGTTATAAAGTAGCAATGAAAATAATTTTATGGTTGGGGGTCACCACAACATGAGGAACTGTATTAAAGGGTCGCAGCATTAGAAAGGTTGAGAACCACTGCTCTAGGACATTCTTGAGGGAAATAGGCCTTCTCCTTCCCTGGAAGATGGACTCTTGGCCATGTACAGACATGTAACATGGCTGAAGAGGAGGAGCAAAGTAAAAGAGCAGAACTCAGCTGTCCATCCCTAGATACTTATCAGATCATGAGTCCCTCCCTCCTCAGATTACTCAACCTCTCCCTGCAGTTTCTGTCTCTTCAAACACTCTGCAAGGCCAAAGGCAGAAGCAGAATTTCTTCTGATTAGTAAGCCAAGTGGAGTATATTTGAGGGAGTCTGAAATCTCTGCTCTGAGAAGATAGCTGGCAATAGCTACCGTGAAGATATGATCCACATGTGTTGTTTTTTTTATTAATAACCATTCCAAACCTTTGTTCTTAGCCAAGACCTTCCCATTTTAAAGAAAAGTTCCTGGAGCAAAGCATGGACATCGATGATCTAAAATATTATTCAGAGCATTCTGTGAATGAGCCTGAAGATGGTGATATTGACGATGGGGATGATGAGGAATGGAAGCCAACAAAATTACTTAAGATACCCAAGAGGAACGCCCAAGTGGTAGGCAGCTCTCATCTATGTCAAGGGTTCTAGTCTGTCTTCACTGCCAGTGGGAATGTACCGGCCCCATACCCTGCACCTGGATCCCATTAGAGGCATTGGGTCTACTGAGGGGTGCTCCTCAGGCCAGCTCTGTATGGAACCTGGGGCCAGCAGAAGGAGCTGCCTGAGTGTGCAGGTGGTTCTTTTCATGTCTGTGGACTCTTACCAGTCTGAAAGGTAGTAGTGTTCTTCAGGTTGGTCCCAATGTGATCATAATCCTTCTCATTTTTATAGCACTTTACAGTTTATAAAGCATCTTCATATATGCTATTTCTTTTCAATTGTCACACAAAAATTCAGTGAGATACTTATTATTTATTTTACAGATGAATCTTCAGCCCACAGGAAGGAAATGACCTTGCCTAAGGTTATACAAGTGATAGTCAGGACTTGAAATAGAATATTCTGACTCCAAGTCCAGTTTGTTGCTATCACATCATGGTCATATCAGTAAAAATTATAGACCAGAAACTGAGTGCCTAATAGAGTGATTTTGCTCACTAGGCTAAGGGACATTGAGAATTACAGAAAAGGCTAAGAGTTCAGATCAAACACAATAGTTAAGGCCAGTTAGGAACAGTCTGACTTTGAGGAATGTTTTATTTGTTTACATTATGACAGGTTTACATAATTATCAAATGTAGATGATTTAAAACATTAACTTCCTGGGTACTACAGTTCACTGCTACCACAACTGTGCCCTGCAGTCACATTCTGCCTAAGAGCAGTTCACAAACTACCCTAGCTGGCTTCCTGGAAGGTTACTTGATTTCATTAGCTCATAGTGAACCACACAGGGAACTGAGCCTTCTAAAGCCACAACATCAGAGGAAGCAAGTCATGAGGAATAGATAATCATGCTGGCATTTGGTCATTTGAAAACAGTCAAAAATGCAACATATTGGGCCTAACAGCTTGTCCTTAGCCTCAGATTGCTTATAATCTAACTAGAGGCCTGGTACATGAAATTCGTGCATGGGGGCGGGGAAGGGGGGGAGATATCCCTCAGCCCAGCCTGCACCCTCTCCAATCGGACCCCTCGGGGGATGTCCAACTGGCCATTTATGTCTGATCCTGGTGGACATCCCTCTCACAATCCAGGACTGCTGGCTCCCAAATGCTCACCTGCCTACCTTCCTGATTGCCCCTAACCACTTCTGCCTGCCAGCCTGATCACCCCCTAACCACTCCCATGCCAGCCTGATTGATGTCTAACTGTTCCCCTGCCAGCCTATTTGCCCCCAGCTTCCCTCCTCTGCCAGCCTGGTCACCCCTAACTGCCCTCCCTTGCAAGCTTGGTCCCTCCCAACTGCCCTCCCCTGCTGGCCATCTTGTGGTGGCCATCTTGTGTCCACATGGGGACAGGATCTTTGACCACATGTGTGTTGGAGTGATGGTCAATCTGCATATTACTCTTTTATTAGATAGGATAGAGGCCTGGTGCATGGGTGGGAGCCAGCTGGTTTGCCCTGAAAGGTGTCCTGGATCAGGGTGGGGGTTTCCTTGGGATGTGGGGCAGCCAGCCTGAGCGAGGGGCCTGTGGTGGTTTGCAGGCTGGCCACGCCCCCCCAGTGACCCAAGCAGAGGCCCTGATATCTGGAATTTATTTACCTTCTACAATTGAAACTTTGTGGCCTGGGATGGAGCCAAGCCTCCTCCTCATTCTGGGGCGGGCAGCCATTTCAGTTTGGATTTGTTTACCTTCTATAATTGAAACTGTAGCCTTGAGTGGAGGCCTAGGCCAGCAACTGAGAGCGGAAAGCTTGGCTTCTTCCGTTGCCTGGGAAATCCAAGCCTCCCTCCTGCTCTCTGTGGCTATAGCCATCTTGGTTGGGTTTATTTGCATGCTCACTCTGATTGGATGGTAGGTGTGGCTGGTGGGCATGGCTTGTGGGTATAGTGGAGTGATGATTAATTTGCATATTACTCTTTTATTAGGTAGGATAGGAAAACAAGGCAAATACAATAAATAGAAGCGCACCATAGAACCTCAGCATCTTCATCTCAGAGACATGCACTGAGGGGCTTTTAAGGGTGACTATAAAGCCAAACCAAGTAGATAGTGTTTAGGAAGACACCAGGGAAGAGATGACTGTTGCTGCATTATAAGATAGAAAGGGAAATATATGTTGGGGGCAACTAGGAAAGCATTTCTGGACCAATGAATAGCATATTGCAAACATTTGGTAGTAGAAGAGGGACAGAGAGTTGAGACAGAGAAAATGGGACAGAAAAATATCTGACTTTCATTTACTTAACAAACATGGACTGTACTGTGTATGAAGTGGAGCGCATGAACTGAGTACAGATGAAAAGGTCAGCTAAATAACAGGAAGCAGAGTTGAAAAATACTCAGAAATACATGGAAGAAGGCCTAAAACTGGTGAGGAAGTTTCCAAATGAGAAGCAGATACAGGTATACTTTCCTGAAGGAAGACTTACTATATGTTATATAGCACTGTTGCTCTAAGCCTAAAAAGAAATATGTAACAGATATTTCAAGTAAATAGTATTACTATCAATGGCAAATCCTATGCCTAAAACAGTGAGAGATGATTATTTCCTAGGCTCCCCCCTTAATTTTAAAACTCAAGAAGAGACTATAACTGGGCTTTAAGGGGAGCAAGTTGACATACCATCTTGTTTCTCCCTTTGTGTGACCTCAAAGTACATGGATGCTATGACTGCTCTTTGATCAGACTGCTCATAGACAGACATTATAGACCTTGAGGCTTTGCATGAAGGCCATCCTGATTATTATTGTTCCAACCCAACTGAAGCAGACTGGTATTCCACTAGTTTACTGAAAGAAAGACACCAAAATGATGATTTGTCCAAAGCTACTGCTGAAAATGTTGGCTTCCTCACTCAGCCATGTTTCCTGTGTGTACTAAGGACATGCTGAGGGATAGGCCATGTGCTATAGTTTTTAAAAGTAATAGCTTAGAAGCCAGTTAGACATGGGTTCTAGTCTTGAGTTTGCCACTGGTGAGTTAGATGACCTTAAGCAAGTCAATCTCCCTACGCTTCAGATTCTTCATCTATGTAATGATGGGATTATATTAGAAGAGAGATATAAAGTTTCTTTCCAGCACTAATATCCTGAGTCAGAATAACAAAGTTGTTATTGTTTTTAATAAATGGGTTTTAATAATTTTAACCTTTATATGGTGTTGTATGGTAATCTGAAAAGTTAAAAGAAGGAATGTATGCAAAAGCGCCTTGTGACAAAATATCATACAGGTATTGTTATTACAGCATAGTAAGCATTTTACTAATATTGATATTTTAGCAGAAATTAGGAAGCAGGTATTTTTGTCTCCATCTTAGCAGTGAAAGGATGGAGATGAACTTGGATGAAGTGACTTATCCAAAGTCATGCCATGTATTAAATACTAGAGGCCCAGTGCACGAATTCGTGCACGGTGGGATCCCTTGGGGTGGCCTATGGAGATCAGGCCCCAGCTCATGCTTCCAGCCACACAGCCCCACCTCGCAGCCTGCCTTGGGCTGATGTCGCCCCCTCACCTGCTCTACCATCCTGCCTGCGGGGTAATCATCAGGGCCAGGGCCCCCCACTGCCACTTCTGGTTGTTGTCTGCAGGGCGGGCAATAGGTTGGAACCAGGCTCCCACCCCCTCCCCCTGCTGCTGCCTGTAGCCTTATGCATGATAACCCTGCAAGGCAATTGGGCCCCTGCTTGCACCTGCTTGGCCTGGCACCACCCACTCACCTGCTCCACCATCTCGCCACGATCCCACTTTTGTTGGGGCCCATTAGTGCTAGCAGCACCTCCACTGCCACCCTGCTGCCAGCGCAGAGTCACTGATGCCCGCCATGTTCCGCACTGCTCCCTGGTGGTCAGCACACATTATAGCAAGCGGCCGAACTCCCAGTCAAATGACCGCTGGAGGGGAAACTTTGCATATTAGGCTTTTATTATATAGGAAAGGATGAGAGCCCAAGTTTCCTAATTCCTAGCCTAATGTTCTTTATGTTAAATTTTTATCAGCCCTGACTGGTTTGGCTCAGTGGAAAGAGCGTCAGTCTGTAGACTGAAGGGTCCAAGATTCAATTACAGTCAAGGGCATGTGCCTTGGTTGCAGGCACATCCCCAGTGGAAGGTGTGCAGGAGGCAGCTGATCGATGTTTCTCTCTCATCGATGTTTCTATCCCTCTCCTTTCCTCTCTGTAAAAAATCAATAAAATATATATTTTTTTTAATTTTATTAGATATTTCATTCTGAGATACAATACAATGCTGAAATCAGTGCTAGAAGAATTATAGACTCTAAAGCAATGGTTATCAAGCCTGGATGTACATTAGGATCCCCAAAGGAGCTTTTAAACATGGGAGCCAGGGACCCCACCCCCTGATATTATGATTTAGTTGAGGTGGAACCTGGCCTTTCTGAAAACTCTCCCAGAGATTTCATATGTACAATCAGGGATGAAAACTACTGGCTTAAAGGAACCCCACTGGTTCCTTTCAGCTCTACTTCCCACTCTATATAAAGAGTCCCTCGATTATAGTGATTCTTAACTGTGGTATTGGGACATGCTGGGTGGGTTGCCAGCAGTTCTGATACACTCATGTGTACACATACACCGCATACCTATATAATTGAGGTTATGTCTGTGACAAGGTCATGCTCCCTCTCAAATTCTGATCTTGTCCTGGTGTAAGAAAGAATAAGATGAAGTTGTAGCTAGTACATATAGCATTCACGTGAATACGTGTGTCATGACTCTTCTATAACAACACTGCCAGATGTATTTCTAGCCTCTGCTTGCTTGAAAACTTATGATAGTGATGAATCTCACAGGGAAGCTCATTGTATTCCATAACTGTTAGAAAGTTGTTCCTTGTTGAGCTAAAATAGGCTGTCCTGTAAATCATCCCAGTAAGTCTTGGCTATATAAAAGTCTAATTGTTCTTATTTATGACAGCCTTTCAGATAATACTCTCATACTATTGTAGTAAGCCTTTGCATAAAATAGAGACATGTGGGTAGGTTACTAGAGTCTTTTTGATGAATTTGTAAATGGCCAGAGGACCATAGCCAGTCTATAGCAGTGAATTCAGTGTCATCCTGATGAGATATGTCTAGGATATGTCATAGAATTCTGTCTTTTTTCCTATCTTATTCAAAGATGCAAAGATTTTTTCATTTTATTTTAATGCCCAATGTTGGACAAGTATGACTAAGATGGGCATTCCTGCCTATTGCTACTAGGAATGTAAATTTGGTATAACTTTCTGTAAAGCAACTTGAAAATATGTATCAAAGGCTTTAAAAAGGTTTCTATCTTTTGGCCCAGTAATTATACACATAAGAATTTATACTAAAAAAATAGTTATTGGTGTGTAAAAAAGGTTTATTTACCAACAAATCTTTTGAGCATCTAAGTATCAGGCACTGTTTCTAGGTGCTGAGGACGCAACATATGAGACAGGTAAGATCCTTGGCGTCATGAAACTGAAGAAAGACATTCTTGTGGAGAAAGAGAGACATAATAAACCAGAAAAACAAAATCATTTTATTTTTAAAAAAATATATTTTATTGATTTTTTTTTACAGAGTGGAAGAGAGAGGGATAGAGAGTTGGAAACATCGATGCGAGAGAATCATTGATCAGCTGCCTCTTGCACACCCCCCACTGGGGATGTGCCCACAACCAAGGTACATGCCCTAGACCGGAATCGAACCTGGGATCTTTCAGTCCCCAGGCCAACGCTCTATCCACTGAGCCAAACCAGTTTTGGCAATAAAATCATTTTAGATGATAAGAGATAAGAAGAAAATATAGGGAAGTCACAGATAGGATAGGAAAAGTGTACTTTAGAAGAGGGCTTGGGAGAGGTATCTCTGAGGAAGAGATATTTAAGCTAAGAGCTGAACAAAGGGAAGGAGCAAGTCAGGGAAGGAATCAGGGAAGAACATTTTAGGAAAAGAAAACAGCAAATGCAAAGATCTTGGGGCAGGATGAACTTGGTTTATGAAGGAGCAGCTGAGAAGGTCAGTGTGGCTAGAGTGTATTGAAAAGTGGGAGAGAGTAGTATAAGGGAAGATTCAGAGGAGTAGTAAGGGCCACATCATGGAGGGCCTGGTCAATCATGGTAACATTTGGGTTATATTTATGTATCAGGATGTTTGCTATAACATGATTTATAGTAGCAAACAATTTCTTTTAATGCCATCTTAATATCTACTGTAGGGGTCTGGTTTAATAAATTGACATTTCCACAGAATGAAATACTATAGACAACTATTAAATTTTTTAAATCATGGTTTTCTATTTTCAAATTTTATAAAGTGATACATATTATTCTCATAATCGAAAAAATATGTTATTTTGCTTTAGTTTACCTTCACAACTACAGAATAATGATGATGGTTGTCAAATGAAAGAAATGTAAGGGCTTGAATTTAACGGTAGACCCAGTTAAATGAATCCACAAAGACATGACAAGGTGGGCGGGAGGGGAAAGCTGTGAATTTAGGCCTCATTAACAAGAATATTGGGAAGTGTCTGTCTCAATCTACTTCATAGTGATCACATATAGAAAGTTATTCTCATTTCTGGGTGTTACAAAGATGAACTTGGACAAACTGATATATAGTTAAGATGGCAAGGATTCTTGGAAACAGTGTCGTGGTGAATCATTGAAGGAGCTAGATCTATTTAGCTCTGAGACGATTTGGACAGAAGGGCACTGGGAGTGAAAATTATGCTCAGGGTTTGAACAACTGAGCTGTGAAAGGGGGGTTAAACTTGATTCCATGTCATTCCAGATGACAGAATTGTGTCCTATGGTCAAACGTTATGGGAAACAATTTTCATCTCAGGATAGAGTTTGGAATCATTAGACCAGGGACATTAGAGAGGTGCTTCAAACATCACATCAGACTTTATATGGTCGCCGAGGTCTCTTCTGACTCATCCATCATTCTATGAGGTCTGCCACTTGTTTGTTTCAAGCCAAACTATCCTACTTTCTCCCACCATTTCTCTTATAACATCACTTTTTAAAAAATATATATTTTATTAATTTCTTACAGAGAGGAAGAGAGAGGGATAGAGAGTTAGAAACATCGATGAGAGAAAACACAGATTAGCTGCCTCCTGCACACTCCCCTCTGGGGATGTGCCCGCAACCAAGGTATATGCCCTTGACCAGAATCGAAACTGGGACCCTTCAGTCTACAGGCCAACACTCAGTCTGAGCCACACTGGTTAGGGCATAAGATCACTTCTTATAACACTGGTCACCCATCTCTATTTTAATGGGATAGATTACTTCAAACGGTGTCTGGGAGCAGTTGCACCCTGTGATTTCTGAATTCCAAACTTCTGTCTGACTATATTGTTTTTTGACAGCCATTGTACACAACTACTTTTAAGCCAGATCTTCCTCCCATATTTTTTAACTATAGGCACGATACATGAAATTTGTGCATTCCCTCAGCCCAACCTGCACCCTCTCACAGTCTGGGAGCCCTTGGGGGATCCCCCCACGGGCCTAAGCCATCAGTCAGACATCCTTAGCGCTGGCTGCCGTGGAAGCAGGAGAGGCTCCCGCCACCACTGCTCTTGCCAACCATGAGCCCAGCTTCTGGCAGAGCAGCGCTCCCCCTGTGGGAGCCCACTGACCACCAGGGGGCAGCTCCTGCATTGAGTGTCTGCCACCTGGTAGTGTGCCTCATAGCAACCGGTAGTTCCACCATTCCATCAGTTTGCATATTAGACTTTTATTATATAGGATGGCTGATTTGGGAGGAACCTAAATGTCAAACTGAAATTGATCCCTGTTATAACTAACTTTTGGCCAATATTTTCAGCCTGTCCAAATATTTTTGAATTGTGATTCTGTTATCTTACATATTAATAATCCTTCCAGTTTTGTGTTGTTACAGCAGATTAAAATGCCTACCTTGTAGACCAGTTATGAGATTTTTGTATTTGCATATTATATGAAAGTATTCTGAAAACTGTAAAGTGCTATACAAATGTAAGTGATTTATTTCATTCATCAATGATTCATTAAACTGCTAAATTAAACTGCTTAGGATAAAGCTCAGGCTGACACTGAACAAACTGTAGAAAGTGAGCTGGATGAAGTACAGTTAGGTAGATCAAAAGATGTCAAACAACTGTGCTCAGTCCTTAAATATACTGTACCTAACTCCACTACCATCTAGCTCACAGTTCTTCACTTTGCCCCTATATGATCATGAGAGTCGCTTTCAGTTGCCCTTCATTGTTATGATAGCCCCCTGATCTGTCTTTCAAGTATCCTATCCCCAAATAAATGGATTTGCCTGGCTTGACTTGTTTTTAGTAAACCTCTGGTGGTTCACATTAATCATTGTTTCGCTAAAGAGAGGACTGAGGAGCCCTGGCTGGTATTGCTCAGTGGTTACAGTGCCAGCCTGTGCACTGAAGGGTCTTGGGTTTGATTCCTGGCCAAGGGCATGTATCTGTGCTGCAGGTTCGATCCCCAGCCTTGGTCAGGGCATGTGTGAGAGGAAATCAGTCAGTGTGTCTCACGTTGATCTCTTCCTCTTCTCCCTGTCTCCCTGCCCCTCTCTCCCCTTTTCTCCCTTCCACTCTAAAAAAAAAAAAAAAATCAATGGAAAAAATATCCTCGAGTGAGGATTAACCAGAGAGGACTGAGGAGATAGAAGCTTGGTAAAGTTGATGATACTTTCCATCTTTTTGGAAAGGCTTGTAAATGAAGGGAAGGCCTTTTAAACTAGTCATCCTACCCTGTGAAAAGTGTGGTTAAACAATTCAGAGAGGATTGAGGAGGGAGAGAAACATCAGTGATGAGAGAGAATCATTGATTGGCTACCTCCAGCATGCCCCTCATGGGGGATTGAGCCTGTAACCCAGGCATGTGTCCTGACTGGGAATAGAACTGTGACCTTCATAGGTTGATGCTCAACCCCTGAGCCACACCGACCAGACAGTAATGAGTCTTTCTACAAACCTGTTTTGCAGTGTTCCTGCAAGGGCTGGTGTGGGAATAAGCAGTGTGGGTGCAGGAGACAGAAGTTGAACTGTGGCGTGGACTGTAGCTGTGACCCCACAAAGTGTAGGAACCGTCAGCAAGACAAGGTAAGATCAGTGCCATTGCCCCTCATTTTCTCCACTAGTTTCCGCCCTTTTCTTCGTGAAATCTGGAATCTCCTGCCCAACTCTTCTACTTTTCTCTGCAATCAGAAAAAGACACAGTTCGCTTAATCCTACTTCCTCACTGCTAGCCTGTCCACACATCCCCTTCAGAAACCATTGCCCTTCCCAGAAGATTCCCAGGTATGAGTTCCCCATTCCCCACCTTGGCTATAACGTTTCTGTAGTTTCTGAGGCAGGAACAAGAAAACAGGCATTTACGGGCATATAGACATGCATGATCAGGCTAATCCAGAGGCTTAGCTGGAACTGTAAGGGCCTCATGCTAAAGTGGCAGCTTCCAGGAAGGAAGTTAATCCTTCTGACATCTTGAGACATTAGTTACCTAGCCCCTCTCCATGGGAACCAGCTATTCTCTACGAAAAGATTCACAGGAACCTGGTCTTTCTGATGGTCACTGTTGTGAGCCAAGCTAATTGTAGCTATCCTCCTTACATTGCTTCCAGGAATAGAAATCTCAGGGAAACAAAATGTGTGCTGAGAAAGGCAGCACCAAGCAAGTCAGGCCCACATACTTGCCTTATGCCTACCTGTGCCCATGGCAAAAGCTCATTCCTACAGCTCTCTCTGTGATAAAGAATAATTTTAGCAAGCTTAGTCTAATGATCATTCATCATGTATTTCTTGAACATCTACATGTGAGCAATTTTGCCCTGGGTTTTCTATTTAAAATACTTCTAAGGTAGGCAGTCATTAGAGGATTAAAACGGCAGGCTAGAGGTAAGGCTAACAATTGTAGTTGTCTTGGGGACCTTGGGAGTCTATTCCTGTGGCTAAGTAAAATAAGTCAGGCAGAAAAAATCAAGAACTATATGGTTTCACTCATATGGGGGATATAGAATTGAAAGCAACAAATAAACAAGGAAGGCAAACAAAAACTCATAGAAACAACCATCATGTTGGTTACCCGAGTGAAGGAGGTGAGAGTAGTAAAGGGTGAAGGGGGTCAAATATTTGGTGACAGAAGGAGGTTGGACTTTGGGTGGTGGGCACACAGTGCAATATCCAGATCATGTACCATAGAAATTTACACTTGAAACCTATATAATCTTATTGACCAGTGTCACCCCAATAAAAGATTAGACCTTAATCCAGTTCTTTTTTCATAACAGCAGGTTATAATTCTAATCTAAGCTCTACCCCAGAGTCACCTCACTGCTTAAGTGACTTCCTTCTCTAAAAAAAAAATAATACAGACAACACCCTGTATAGGTACTAAAAAGAATATTGCAGATTGAAAAAAGGGAAAGTTAAAGAGATCACCAAGGCTTGGTCTTGTTTAAACCTCGCCTCGTGATGTGTCCTGTGCCACGATCCTACCTAGTCCTTTGCCTTCAGAAGCTGCCGTCAAGCACTATGACCCCCAAGCAGGGTCTCCCTGAGACTTGCTTAGAAACTGATGAGGCCCTCCAAGCTGGGGTCTCTCTGGTTGAAGCGGACGGTGATTCTATAACCCTGGGAACGGAATTTCTAATAGCCTGTCTGCTTGATTCTCAGGAAAGCTTGGGAACTGTTGAGAGGACCCAGGATTCCGAAGGTTCCTTCCAACTGGAGGATCCCACAGAAGTGACCCCAGGATTAAGCTTCTTCAACCCTGTCTGTGCCACTCCAAGCAGCAAGGTGGGCAGGCTAAAAGGCAGGCATTTCCAGCTGTATTATGGTCCGTCTCTGCCTTAGCTCTGACCGACAGTGGTGGAGGGAAGGGGAGGAAGTGCCAAAGTGCTTGTTGGGAACTGGGACTGGAGCATAGTCTGTTTCTTCCTGCTTCCTGCAGAGCAGTCTTCTGGAACACCTCATACTATTGGAAGTGTCCTGGGCCTCCGTGGGGGCTAAGTTGGGCTGAGCCTCTGCCCCCACCTGAGATGCAGTCATCTTTTTTTCTGTCCTTCCTAGATCCTGAAAGATATGTGTGAAGTGAAGCAGGTTCTGTTCAAGACTTCTTCAGACACCTCCTCCCTTGGCCTCCCAGAGTTGAAACATGTAGCCACAGAATCCCAAGAAAATAAAGCTCCAGGGAGGAAAAAGAAACGAGCTCTGGCCAGCAATGTCAGCTTCTTCTCTGGCCGCTCCCCTATTGAAGAAGCCCCCTGAAGTTGGACTCATCTCTGCCCCAGTCTGGCTTGTAAGACGCCTCTGGTTGCAGCCAGTGGAGGTTTTTTAATGGCTCCTCTAGATTTCACGTTTCTTGCTGTTGATAAAACGGACAGCATGTTACTGAAAAGGAAGGGATTGTTTTGGCTCTCAGTCCTCACTCTCTAGCCCTCCAGTCCCAGATTACTGATTGCTCTCTCCTCTCTAGAAGGGTGCTAAGTCGCCTGCTGAAGACAGAACCAGCTGATCTCCTGCTGACTCTTTGGGAACCAATTCCCAGCACAGTCTAGCTCTTCCTGATTTGCCAACAGTTCAGGCTGCCTCCCAGGGCTGTCTTATCTCTAGGCTCTCTCAGCTTCATGACAGAGCCTGACCTGGGTGGAATACCTGACACCCATCTTTCAACCCACCTCAGGACGGGGCTCTCCATGGTGCTGAGGTAAAGGAAATCTTTAAGGTGTTAATGTTTTTTTTTAAAGAAATAAAGCTTAGTGCTTCTATTGTTTGGAAAGATCCTTCCATGCTATACTTTCAACCCGTGTTCCTCTGCCCCTGGGAACGCCAGGCAAGTAGCCAGGTCCCTCTGCCTTGTCATGGCCCCTGTTCCCCGAGGGCCATATGGAGCAGAACATCACGTCTTCACGTCACTCTGCTACCTCAGGAAATTGGAAGAAAACTAGCAAGGCCAGTGGCTCGATCTCCACTGTATAGCCTGCCCAGCCTCTAGATTTACGAGGAAGGGACATATTTACTAGGTATCCCCATGCACCTGCCACCATTTTATTTGAAGTCACAAAGTAAGTGAGTAATAGAGCTAGAACTTGAACCCAGGTCTAACACCAAAGCTTCTTAAGAGTGGCAGTGGTGGCAATCCCTACAGTCCTGCATCCTGACTTCCTACATGAGCATGGGCGTGGGGCCACACTGCTGCCTGCTTTCTCCTTTGAAAGGGGAGCAGAGGGGTGTGGCTTACTCCTTATTGAGCATCAGAATTCTCCATCTCTGCTTAAAACTGCAAAGGGGCCAGCCCTAAAATGCCAAACACGGGTTGCTGACTGGCCTTACAGCCTTTTGAAGAGTTTTCAAGGCCTGGGCCTCTCATATTCATGCATTCTGAATCCCAGCCTTCCCCTCCCCTCCCCCACTCCCCCAGTAAAAGCTTCCAGAGCACCCTCCAGAACTCAGCACATGAAAGCCCAGACTCCTTTAAAATCCATCAGAGGCAAGCAAAGGAAACTGAAGGACGACCTGCTGGGAATGAAGCCTGCAAGAGGACTTAACTGCCCTGCAGCCCTCCCTGGCCTTCTGCCAGCAGGCAGCCCTACTTCTCTGCATTTTAATGTTCAGGAAGCTAGAGAGCCTCTTCCATTGCTAACTAGAGGCCCTGGATACAATGGGAAGGCAGCGAGGGAGGAGGGCTGTCTCTTGGCATAAGAGTGCCAGTCGTCTCTCCCAAACCCAGTGTGTGTGGGAGGCTGGGTAAGCAAGCTATCACCAGAGAGGCATCCTTTCCCACCAACACTGCATTAACCCACGGGCTTTGAGCCATCACATCATAGAGGGAAGGTCAGTCCCACCCAGAGCCCTACATTTTCGCGCTGAGCTAACTACAAGTGCTAGACAGTGCTGTCTGTTGATGGTGTAGTAACAGTACTTTTGTACGTTGTGGACAAAAAAAGGGCCACATAGTAAACCTGACAAGCTCAAAGGAGGCCTGCATGGTGGCCTTACAGACTCAGAGACTTACAGTAACCACATCGGATGGTCTGAACATAAAAATTTCTAACTAAATCCAGTTTATGGGGGGAGTCACATGCTAGGCCTGTATATCTTCTTTGACATAGTTCAGTCTTTACCCTAAGTGAGGCGGTATATTGTCTTTTTGCATCTAAGATAACATACCCTTGGAATGTCAGAGTAATCTCATCCAGATCCTTCAGGGCACACCAGAACAGAGACTATGAACCCTTCGTTGTTATCTTATTGCCTAAATACCATCTCTATGTGTTGTAAATGCTAACTATCTTATACCCACCAATGTAAAAGATGTCTGAGTCTCTCCATTTCACTCTTTATCCAATCTTAGAGATTTTCCTTCTTTTCTTTCTCCTGACCCCTTAATCTACCACCAATGGATTTCATGTAACCCTCCTTAAGTCTCCTCCTTTGATTGTAGTATATAAACCAGGCTGTGAAAGTGCCATTCTCCGGAGCATCTTCTCAACCCCTTCAGATTTTGCTTCCCAACAATTGTCCGTTTGGCTCAAATAAACTCATAAAAATTATCTACGGGTTTGAACGTTTCTTACATCAACAATGTGTTTATCTTTCACAATCCAGTGACCCTAACCCCCGACACTCTTCAAATGATTCTTGGAAGGATACTTTAGATGCCTTGGAGATAAAGCAGCTGGAATGATGCGAGTCTCAGCCATCCTGAATGAGCATATACTGTCTGGGGTGATGGATGGGAAGAGTAGGGGCCACAAAGCCCATGGGGACCTCTGGCCTAGAAACAGGGTGATCTGCTGTCCAGATACAGGGAAGTAACTTGCAATTCTATTCTCTCTTCTTGGTGCATTTTGCAAAAGTGGAAGTAGACTCCCAAGAGGGAAGGGAGGCTGATGAACGAAGGCTGTCCTCCCATGAAGCTTGAGACCAAATGCTGGACTCCCCCCCCACACACCCCTTCCCAGGGGGCAGGCTGGGCCCCTTCTTTGACAAGTTGCAAAGTTGTATAGTTCACCTCCCCCCAGCTTCCCTGCCGCCTGCCAGTGCCCTTAGCCCCCGCCTCCCAGAGAAAGGACAAAGCCCTGGCAGTGACTGAGGGGAGCAGGAGGAGGGACAGAGGGACCGGGAAGGCTGCACAAAAGAATTCCTCACCCCAAGGCGGCAGCGGCAGTGAGTAAAGAAGCAGATCTCTCCCTCCCATCTTCCCACTCTGAAGGCACAAGCCAGAGAGCAGCTGCGGGCCTTGGGAGAGGACCCACAGCCTCCTGTAGGTGGCAACAGTGCCACCTGTTTGACTGGTGGGGCTGAACGGTGGACTGAAAGAGGAGGCAGACAACTCAGAGAGGATCTGGGAAGCAGTGCAGAGCTGAGAGCAGAGCTGCCGCTGAGAAAAGGTGCGAGGGCTGGGAAGGCTGGGGGCTACGGGAGGGAGCAGCGGGCAGAGGCTGGCTCCAACCAGCAGGGATTGGGCAGCACCCCTGCTCAGCTTCCTTGGGGGTTTTCAGGCTACTCAGACCTGACCCCATCTTCTAGACAGCTCCTGGAGGGAGGTGGGGCTCTGGCAGGCAGTGCCTGGGGTATGGGGCCTGAGGGGGGGCAGGAGGTGCTGATGGAGCCAGGGCAGGCTACCGTAACCCAGTCCCAGGGTGGGAAGAGGCAGAGCCTCCCTCTGGGATGACTTTTTCCTGGAAGGCAGCTCAGAAAGCAGAGAGGTTTCCTTCCCCCAGCCTCAGGCCCCCACCCCTCCACAGCCTACTCTAACCTCCTTTCCCAAGGCAAGCATACTGTAAGGAGGGCAGTTTCAGGAGTAGTTACACCCTCCCTCCTTTCAGGGGCCCAGCCACTGTGCACCCCTCTAAGACTCCACAGCCTCAGGAGAGCCCGAATGACAAGGGGTTGTGTCCCATAAACCACACGTACTTTGGGTGTATTTAGGAGCTCCTGTACACACCCAAAGTCATCAGCAAACCCGTTTGTACTGCCAGCCACTAGTACACACGCACAGACAAGTGCTGACACAAATCGCAGCCCTTCTTTGGAGAATCACCATCACATACCCAGCCTAGTTTGCGATCAGTTAAGCCAGCTCAGTCTCAGCCTGACTCAAAAGGACAAGGAACAGGGATCGCCGGTCCCAAGACAACCACACCCCCATACCTTTGCCCTGTATTTGTTGCACTTTCACCTAAGGGACCTCAGAGGGTGGGGCCCTGAAAAGGAAGAAGTGGAGCCTAGGTTACCGATTTGGCAAGGGGGGGGGGGAGTTTAGACGGGGCAAGAGGCCTTGGATTTTCCAGGTGTGCAGACAGGAAAAGAGCCTCTTAACAAATCTAGAAGTGACCCAGACTGCCTGTTCCCCTGGCTTCCTGTTATTGGCCGCGCCCCCGGCCCCTGGAAGGTGGAGACAGAAGATCTTTCAGTCAGGGCTTTGTGATGTGTGTAATCTGTATCCATAGTAACTGGCCCACTAGCTAGGCCTCCCTTCAGCCCCAGGTCAGAACTGGAACTTCAGCCTCAAGTTACTCCTAATTCCTGGGGCTGCCCGAAACTTGGTTAAATCTGCCTCAACTTGTTGAATTGAGTTTGCCCCACCCCAGGCAGTTTCTCCTGTTAAATGGACACACTGGTAAGTAGGAGAGATTGCGTGTTCATCCAGAAGGCCAACAGAGCAGATGTCCCAAGTGTCCCAGACTGACCCAGATTAAAGGGAAAGACCCTGGAGATTGTCGTCCTTTGCTCACCTCTTCATCCATTCTGGCACACGGGGCCTGCTCCATGACCTCCATTGCTGGGCAGCAGCCCAGGCCTTTGCTTCTCCATCAGGCTCCTCAGATACACTGGGAGGAAGGCTGGGATCTGCCTTCACGGGGTCCCTGGTGGCAGAGTATCTCTTCCCCCAGGCCCTCACCATGGCCAAGTGCCCCAACTGCTGCTCCGCCTGGGCCCGATGCGTCCACTGCCTGTATAGCTGCCACTGGAGGAAGTGCCCCAAAGAGAGGCTGAAAACAAGCCAGGTGGAGTAGGGATGGGGGCACCTGAAGTCCAAGGCAGAGGCCTCGTGAAGGGGAGGAGGCGGCTAAGGATGCCACTACTCTCAGAGGCAGCTGGGGGCGGAGGGGAGGGGCTTTCTCTCCCTAGGAAGAAAATCTCTCTCAAATATGGAAAAAACTGCTGGCAAAGCAAAGCAGCCCAACACCTGGCAGGAAGTCCTTTGAGCTGCCACCCGTTGGGGACTTTGAGCTGAAAGCGGGAATCGGCTGTGAGCTTCTCTCCTGCTCCTTTACAGTGTGAATATATGTGGTTTGGCCTGCTCTTCTTCACTGTCCTCCTCTCCTTGGGCTGGCTGTACATCGGGCTCATCCTTCTCAATGACCTGCACAACTTCAATGAGTGTGTCATGGACCCCCTGCCTCAGCAAACATGTCAACCTATTCCCCACCCTGGACCCCTGGGTGCTCAGTCATCCCCAGCCCTGCCCATCTCTCCTGCTGCCCAACATCCTTAGAAGACCCCCTCCACAAAGGCTCCCCAGTCCTTGAAGTCCCTGGCCCTGTGAAAGGCTGCCTCTCACTACCTGGTAGTCCTCCTTCTGGGTCCACCCACCCTAACTTCCCTCAGGCCCCTGCTAATACCCCTTCCTGCACTCGGGTGCCACCCTCTCCCCTCCCACAGATTCCTGTTCCGCCACTGGGGACATTGGATGGACTGGTCCTTGGCACTTATGCTTTTTGTCTCTCTACTGGTCACATATGCATCCCTGCTGTTGGTGGGTATAGGGGGACACTTGCCTAGCCCCCGCCTCAGCTCTTCCTTCTGGTTTAGCTCTACCCTGCCCTACTGTGAGGAGGGAAGGAGGGACGAGTCGGCCTGGGAAGCCCACCTCAGTGGTCCACCTCTTCTGGTGCCTCATTACTTCCAACACCCTTTACCCCCAGCTCCTGGCTGTGTTCCTGTGGTTCTGTGGCCAGCCTCTACACCTGCACAGTGTCCACAAGGTAGAGTGGGAATGGGAGTGAGCAGGAAAAGGGGCTCCTGAGCCCAGCATTTGGTTGGCTATTGGTCAAAAACCTCACTATTCTAACTCACTATTCAAGACCTGAAGCTCAGCAGATATTTGTTAACGGAAAGAAGGAAAGTAGAGGAGTCAGAGGAAGAGAATGGTTCTGTTTTCATAGAATGAGGAACAGCCCAGGTAGCCTATTCATCCCGGGTCCCTCAGGTGCTGCTGCTCCTTATTGTGCTTCTTGTGCTCGCTGGCCTTGTGGTACTGGATGTCCAATGGCAGGAGGAGTGGCTCAGCTTACGTCTGTCACTGTGGGTGAGTGGCTGATATCCACTCCCTGGTTGGGAGCCTGGACCTGTGGCCACCCCCAGGACCTATCTTGCTTCCTGGTCCCCCAAAACTGCAAGTAGCTCTAAATTCTAAAAGTCAGGTCCTCAGAGCAGAAAGGGAGGACAGAGCCTCCTCACCACCTCTCCTCCATAGGCGACAGCCCCGTTCCTTCACGTTGGAGCTGTTGCTTTCATCACCATCCTGGCCTGGCCTGCGGCTGATAGCTTCTACCATATCCGCAAAAGAGGTGCCAACTCTACCCCCATACACAGCCTCCTGCTGCCTGATTCCCTGCACCTGCGCTCTGCTTTCTGCCCCCAGAGCTTGCCCACTGCCCTTTCTCCACAGCTGGTCCCCCAATCCTCACAGGTCACAAGATTATGATGCTGTTCATGTATTTTACAATTGTACTGGCCATCTACCTGGCCCCTCTATGTATCTCCTCAACATGTATCATGGAAACCAGAGACTTATCCCCCAAGCCTGGGCTGGTTGGACACCGAGGGGCCCCCATGGTGAGTATGGGCAGAATGCTGGCAAGTCAGGGAGGGTCTGCAGTGGCTAGGCCTGTGGGTTTCCAGGCTCCTACCCTTCCCTTTGACCTCCTCACCAATTCCCTCTTCCAGATGGCCCCCGAGAATACCCTGATGTCCCTACGGAAGACAGCAGAATGTGGAGCTGATGTGTTTGAGACCGACGTGATGGTCAGGTGAGGGAAGCTGGGGGCTAACAGACACAACAGGGGAGCTCAGAAAATAAGAGCAGCCCCAGAGCGTGGCCCTCTGACATCCCTTGTGCCCTCAGCTCGGATGGGATCCCTTTCCTCATGCATGATGAGCACCTAAGCAGAACCACAGATGTGGCCTCTGTGTTTCCAAACCGAATCACCACCCACAGCAGCGACTTCTCCTGGGCTGAACTGAAGAAACTCAATGCCGGAGCCTGGTTCCTAGAGGTGAGGACAGCATCCTGGAAGAGATAGCCACCTGCAGGGGCCATTGGGGCAGAGTTCATTCATTGATAAGCATGTGTGAGTGCTGTGCTGGGCAATGAGTATACAGTCTCTGCCCTCAGGTCATAACCTCCTAGTATAAATGAGAGCTTGGCCAACAGGCTATCAGAATATGAAACCTAGAGCGATAACAGCATCATTACTGAGAGGTCACTGTTTGCAGAGTGTGTGTGGGAGAGGGTCAGGCGTAGTTTCACAGGAGAGGACAC